CGCTAAAAAAATATTTATGATAGTGTTTGTTGATCAACCCAAGCTGATGATCATGAGGTAAGGAGACTTATTCTGCACTGGCTCAGGCAACATTCCATCTGAAATCCATTTTGTGGAGAGCATGAGTTGTTGCCACGATTCAACCTCGCTAAATGTCAGTCATGTTTCTCAAGCACCCTCACCTCTCTCAAAGAGCCCTCATCTGGCTATAAATCTATTTACACCTGATTACATGTACTGTCACCTCTGAGGCGGTGGCGTGTATTCCCCTGGGGAAACAAGTTTCCCGGTGTTATTGCCAGACTGGAAAAGTGGCTCTTGATATTTGCCCTAAAATGTAGGAGGCTCTGAAGAGCACGTTCCACTTGGAGCACCATGAGGTGCGCGGGCACAGCCAAGCGGCCTCATCTGCCTTTAGGGCGTGCTTGGCCGCGGTCACACACCCCTTCTGGACTTGACTCCCATTGTTTCAATTTTTCTCTTTCTTCTGCCTGTCTCAACTTGTTCTCTCTTGAACATTTTCATTCACTCTCGAGGTGCAGTGAGCTGAATGGTGTGCATTATTCCAGGTGTGATTTGGTATAGTGTTATACAGAGGTCTGGCATTTTCTGTTTTATCCCCATGAGTATGGGGAGTGGAGAAAGGAGAAGCAGGGAGGGTGAACGAGTAGAGTGAAGGAGACAGATGATTTTGCGGGAAACCTAGTTACTGAACTTCTCTCTCCATCCCTCCATCTTTTTTTAATAAAGAAAAAACTTTTTTTTTTTTGCTTTTATAAAGAAAGAAACCCATGCCTCTTATAAAACAAGCAGAAGTCTTCATGTAAGCTCCTAGGAGGAAAGCTTGTGGCTAGCAGTGGCCCCGCCCCCAGATCACACCATGGGTGTTGTCTTGCAGAGACACTCTTGCTGTGCTGAAAATACAAGGAGAACTTTACTGCCTTGTCCTGCCAGGGAGGGTGGCTTATGGACATGGGTACGGAGCCTGGAAATGAGGCCAGCTAACCCCACTCTTCTTGTGCCCTAAATATCAAATTCTCTCTATGTTTTTTCCTGCTCCTCCAATTTCTGACCTCTGCCTGTTTCACACACTGCTCCTTCATTTAGCTGAATTCTTTCTTGATTTTTTTTCGATGTCTTATTAGTGGATATTTATAGAATCGGCAACTGGAAGGTAAACTATCAGATACTGCAAAATAGCTTGATGAATCCCTATAAATACAGCTTTGCTGAGATATCAGGGCACATACAGGCATGTCTGTGGCATTATTCTGTCGAGCACCTGGCCCCAGGCAGGAGACAGTGTGAGATGATCAGGTTCAGAGACATGTCAAGCTCACTGCAGTTTCTTTCTAGTGCACACAGCCACTAGAAGCACCCTGAAACTGCTTCCGGATGGGGCAGTTGGTGTGTGCTGAGAATTAACTAAGCGTCAACATCATTTCCTGGGAAATAACTAAGTCTGTGATATTATTTATCAAAATGGAACAAAACCAGCCAAAAGAATTCAGCAGAGGGAAAAGCAACTGGTTTGAAATGAAGAAAGATGTCCAAAGACACCTGCTTCCATCTCCGTTATTTTCTGTGTCCTTCCTGTGTCCTTCAGAAAGGGGTTGCCTATGATGGATGGATCTGTTCGATTGTGAAATTGATTTTTGCGAACTGGATGTCTCCGCTTGTTGCTGTAGACCCTGGGGTTTCCTGGGTGCTATGTTGCCTATGGGGTGTGTTTGGTTCCCCTAAGGTGCCAGGAATGTGCAGTTTGACTTACACTGGAAGGCCTCTGAGGTTGGAGGATATTTGGAATTTCTTCAGTCTTAGGGACCTCATTCTCTTTTTGTTTGTGTCAAATTTCCCCTTGAAATAACAGGGCTTTGTGGGCGATCAATAGCATTGAGGAAATGATGTGGAGAAGTCCCTCCAGGAGGGCTCCGGGGTCTGTAACTTCCCCTTCAGTCTCCCACTCACTGAGAACAAACGGCAAGAACATTCAACACACTGAGAAAATATTTAAGCTTTAAAATGCTGCCTTGGGTGTTGTGGTGCAATGGGTTAAGCCACTGCTTGGGACACTTGTATCCCATATCGGAGTACCTGGGAGTCTTGCCTCTGCTTTCTATCCAGTTTCTTGAATGAGCACCCTGGTAGGCAGCAGATAATGTCTCAGGTACTTGAGTGCCTGCCACCCATGGGGGAGACACAGATGAAGTTCCTGGCTCCTGGCTTAAACATGGCCCAGTCCTGGCTGTTGTGGGTATTTGGGGAATGAACCAGCAGATAGAAGTTCTATGTCTCTTTTATTCTCATTCTCTCTCTCTCTCTCTCTCTCTCTCTCTCTCTCTCCCTCCCTCCCACCCCCCATCTTTCTTGATCTGTGGTTGTTCACAAACAAAATTTTAAAATGTTCTCAGTTTTCCAGTATTAAGGCTATCTAGAGTGGCTGCATGGCTGTCTGAGCCATGAGCTCTGAAAATTTTATTGACAGCTAGTTAGCCCTGTCTCTCCAGCAGCCTTCACAGCTACATGGGCTAAAAAGGGAGCTGAGATTAATCAAACACCAGCTATGTGCCAGATTCAAAGATTGTATCTTATGTATGCTGATTTATTTAAACCTCACATTAAACACGGATTTGTTAATAAGCTCACCCCATTTAGCAGATAAAGACACTGAGGCCAAGTGTCTGCAATGATCTTGGCAAGGTCCCAAGAGTGCTGACTCCAGAGTTAATGTGAAACCCCCTCCCCCCCCTGCTCAGCTATCTTCTCTTTAGCAGGTGCATCTTTTCTAAACTTTTGGTTTTAAGGAGCCAGAAGGTGAACTTTTATCACAGCTCAGTGATTCATATTTTTCCCCTAGTTTCCAAAAATGAATGGGTTTCCTCCTGTGCTTCCAGCCCTCCTTCATGTCCTCTTGGTTCCCTTTAAAGAAAGACCTATGTGTCTCGTTCCTCTTCAATATGTGTCTTACAGAGCAGAGGCTCACTAGGGCACCGATTTAATGAAATAAAAATTTCAAGCATGTTTGGTTTGATTCTAGGTGATACAAATAAAGAATTGAGAAAGCTTTGTAGTCAGGTTTGAAGGGACGGGGAAAGGTGAAAGGAATAAAGTAGGTCAAGTATAATAACTGGATCATGTCTTCTTAAGGGCTGCCTGATGAAGACTCAGCTGTTAAAAATGGAGAAATAATGGGACAGCCATAGTACTTGGCACTTATGTATCCTGAAATTGTGACTTTGGTGGTTTATAGTATTTCACCTATTATGTGAATCATATATGTGCCAGCTGCCATTCAAGTTAATATATAATAACAGCTGAGGGTACTTGAAAACCCTCATGCTAAATTGAATGAAAAGTCTATTTTAGTGCAAAAAATTGAAATTTATACATACAAAGGGTCTTCAAAAAGTTCCTGGAAAATGCATATTATGAAAAAACTATATGTGGATTTCAAAAAATTTTTAAAGATTTATTTTTTATTTGAGAAAGAGAGAGAGAGAGAGAGAGAGAATTAGAATGAATTATCTTCCATCCACTGTTTCACTCCCCAGGTGGCTTCAACAACTAGGTCTGGGCCAGGACAAAATCAGGGGCCAGGAACTCCATCTGGGTCTCCAACACAGGTGGTAGGAAACCAAGTACTTGGGCTGTTATTTACTACTTTTCCAGGTGCATTAGCAGGGCGCTGGATCAAAAGCAGAACAGCTGGAACTCGAACCAGGCACTCCAATATGGGATTCAGTGTCGCAAGTGGTGTTTTAACCTGCTGCACAACACTGACCCTCAAATTGTTTTGAATCAAAATACTTAATCTGTTTTTTCGTTGAACCAAAGTCAGCCTTTCTTTTAATTAATTCTTTCTGTGAACTTTTTGAAGCACCCTAGTATATATGCTGACTTATCCTTTCCAAGGTACACAGTCTCATTATCTCTTTAAAAACCAGAAACTCAGATAGACTTAGTAACTACTGAAGAACTGGAAAGTGCTACCGGGAAGGTTGACTTCTGGCTGTTAACCACTGTGCTTCCCTGCCTCTTAGTGCTTCCTGATTTCATGGGGTTTTACAGATTCTTTCTCTGCTGAATTAGAACCAGTCCACCATACAGTTGGGAGGGTAAACATTTGTCATGTTTGGTAACAGACGTGATGAATTGTGTTTTTCTTTTAAAGGGGATCTAAGGCAAAGTCCAGTGCTTTCTTTTACATATTCCTCCTGTAGGAAAAGGTCGCTGGAGCACAAGGGCTCCGATTTCATCTCATAAGCAGCTTCCCCGTGGCTAAAACCTTGCTCTACAAATTGGCTTTTAAAATATTTTGTGATAATGTATATTGCTCTCTAATAGGAGTGTTCTGGAGTCATTAACTTATGGGCTTCCTAAGTAGGACCTTTAGGACAGTATTTTCCATAAATGCCAGCAATTGTCAAGAGGCTTCTGTTTTACTCTCGTGCTGTAGTCCTTTCTCCTGACTGTGCGTCCGCTCCCATTTACAGTGGTTCTGGGAGACCTGGGCTCTTTGCCTTGTCAGTCAGCCACCTGGCTACTGTTTGTGGTGGGAGGCAAGGGGAGACAGGAGACTAAAAAGCTTGAAATGGTAAATTACTGTAGGTTCTGAAGAAAAATAGAATTAGAAGCATTTGTGGTTCAGATGAAAATAGCACATTTCCTTTCTGCTTGGACTGTGGGGGTCAGAGTGCTCCAGGGAGTAGAAAATAAATAAAAATTGATCCCTCGCCAGTCGAAGGAAGTGCTCTGACTCTGGGAACTGATGTGACAACTTCAGATTTGAGGATCTTGTGAAACCATTTTTGAAGGTTAAAAAAAAAAAGGCTCCAAACACCAGGAGATGTTTAAAAAAAAATGACAGGCTGTGTTAGGAAACCTAATCTTTCAAGAATGATTTAAACAGCCCTTTCCAAGACTGACCACCGGGCACAGCAGAACCCGCTCAGACGCAAGGCGTTTTGTTGCTGACCGGGCCCTTCCTTCTCTCCTTGCAGGTGAGAAGCCTTACAAGTGCTCGTGGGAAGGATGCGAGTGGCGTTTTGCACGAAGCGACGAGCTCACAAGGCACTACAGGAAACACACAGGTGCAAAGCCCTTTAAATGCAACCACTGCGACAGGTAAAGAGACTTGCATGCTGCTGGGCTGGGGAGGGGAGATGTGAGCTAGGGGGTGGGGGGTGGGCTCTGTGTGTGCTCTTAGATTCATCACCAGCCTGTCTCATGGGTAAATGACTTCTACATCTCTGTTAGAGAACCAAGGAGATGCAGTGCCCTCCTCCATGTAAACCAGAGGTGGATACAGCATTTACTATGCAATAGCTTTGGGTCAGGAACTGTGTTAGTCACTGTGTATCCACAAGACTAACCCTCAGGGAGATGATGCGACAGATAATTTTAGTATAATAGGAAAAGTAATCGCATAGAAAATGGTCACCTGTAGCTGCTTCTCCTGATCTTTTTATTAACATCAGTACCACTTTTCCTCCTCCTTCATAGTAAGAAAAAATAGAAAGCTTGCTCGTGGGGAGGAAGATTAGTTATAAGGCTGTTCACTGAACCATTATTGGAAGTGAATTTTTCTAAAGACAGATCCCATTCTCTGGGGGCCTACACCATTATTTCCCCCCTTGAAAACAGGTACAAGGGTCCAAAAGATGGCAAGGTTTTCAGAACTTATCTTATAATTCAATTTCAAACCTTCAGCATTTGATAGTAGAAGAAAGAGCACGTAGCAACAGATACTACCCAAGTAATAGTATCTGACAGCCCTGGCATTATCAACCAATAAACCCCAAAATGGAGACTCTGCAGGCCAAGGTGAAGGCAGGATTAGGTTTAGACATAATCAAATAATGGGCTTGCATCTGAGCGTGTTATCCTTCTAATCCTATTTCTGTGTTTAAAAGGAAGCTTAAGAAAATTAACCATCTTTTTAATGCAATACTAAAGGTCTCGGTTATGATGAGAAAAATGCTTCTAATACGATAAAAGCTCCTGAAAGCCTCAGGGTTCCCTGGCTTGGGCAGCAGCTCGCAGGATGGCAGGAGGGGGTGTGCAGGAAGTCAGCAGAGGCCTGGCTCTCCTTGGGAGGAAATGTGATCGCTTGCACATCCTGCCTCCCTCAGACTCTGTGCCCGCACCTCCTGCTCACCAGGCCTTCCTCCATGGCAATGCGTGTTTGGAGCGCGGTCTCGTGGATGGCCAAGTTGGCTTGGTGCTCCTGTAAGATGCTTATACAGGAACAGTTATGTTTTTCCTTCCTTTCTTTTTTTCTTTCTTCCTGAAGAGGCTATTTTCCTCTTATCTGCATTCTGTCAGAACTAAATAAAGAGCCCATGCCTCCTGGAGCCCGAGATAACCTCCCACCCCAGGGCTGAGGAAGTACCCGTCCCACAGCTATTCACCCCCCATTGCCTTGGAGCCCTCTCTACCCAGGAACACAATTCGTGGTTCATTTCCATCCCATTCCATAGAAGTCCTCCTGAATTTACATGAATCAGCAGCTGTTCCTCTGCACAGCGTGCTCAGTCAGGTTTCCCTTTTTTACATCTTCCTTCAACTCCCATCTCAAATGTGCGTGGTTCGCTCCTCTCTAGCCCTGGCTCACAAAGAAGCTGTACAGATGGTGACTGCCCACAGTCCTCTGGGGGAGCATTCCATTCTCTCCATGGGACAAAGGTGATTTCTTTGTGTGCTATGCAAGTAGGATGGTAGTAGGTCCACACACAAATCCACCATGTCTGAAGGGTATTGAGGAAGTTGCTCAGAGGATGAGCATTTTTTCCATAATCTTGGAAGTGGATAAAGGGTCTTATGAGGCCATTGTCAGAGTTAGTATTCTTCTCTCCAAATCAATGGACTCGAGGCACTTAGGACTTCCTAACAGTTGATGTATTAGGGTTCCATCAAGCTCGTTGGATGATTTATATGGAAAAAAATTCCAAACCTATTGGATATTTCAGCAAAAGAGATGATAGAGATGGGTAATTTGGTTAATCTTTTGCTTTATTTTCTTCATCAAAATATACTGTGGTTTCTGGAAGTAGAAATTTACTAAACAGATGATATAAATCATGTGATGTGGTATTTAGGGGGGATTGTGAGTAGATAAAAGTCTGTGGCATAGAAAAAAAGTATATTTTCAACAATGTCAGAAATGAGGGTTGGACTCTCATTAGTGTCTCATGACAAACAGCACCTTGCATTTCCATTGCAGTGATTGTGCTAAGAATAGACAGGTCTGGGAGGCGGCTTGGGAGTTGGTGGGGCCCCAAAGCAGAGGAAAGGGAAGCCTAGACTGACTCTGGACTTGGCATTCCTTAGCAGACACTTACCTTCAGAAGCAGGGCATCGTAGCCGTAGCTTTGAACAGGACACTGTATCCTGTTGGTGCCACAGTATGTGTAAGTGCACCACCTCTTGCCATTTAAAATTTGAGCAGTCAGGTTATCCTATTTGGAAGCTACTTAGAGTTTAGGCATCCTTTTTCATTAATGTGTACTGAGTTGAACTTATGCGTTTATTTTACATATAGGGTAGTTTAAAAATACACAAGTTTTTCCTTTTTTGGGGCCATCATTTGAAATTGTTAAATGTCACCAAAAAAAGGTCTATATTTCTGCCTTTGTCTGGCAAAATCAGAACCAGCCTCAGTGGTTTCATATTCCTATGTGTCTGTCATTGGCTGGTGCTGAATAGCAATTACTACCATTTGCAGTGGTCACGGGATATTCCCATCACTCCCTGTAGTCTCCCCAGCATGAAGACAAAGCATTGGTCGCCAAGTATTATCATGCTTGCTGTTTCCTCTTTGAAAGAGAATAATATTTCTTTGTGTGCTTGCCTTATCTGATGTGGAAAGAGAGAGTCCACGGGTGTTATATATTTCTCACACTTGAACAACTATACTTCTTTTTTTCTTTTGCCTGGCCCTTATGGACACTGGATTTTTGAGACCTCTGGCTCCAGATTAGCATTAGGGCAGAAAGCAGTGAAGTGGCTCTGCCATTCCTCACCATCAGACTGAACAGTGTAGCCCATCTGGAAGGATGAGGCATTTCTCAGTCCACAGAGCATGAGGCTGCTGATGGTGGTACACTGGGCTCTGTTTCCATTTGGTGACGTGCAGGCCATCGTCCCACAGACTCAGCACGATGATGGTCCGAGAAGACTGCCACAGGAGCAGCACATCTAAGATCATGGGCAGTTCAGTTGGGCCATTTCCATCTTTGTTTCATCCCACTTACAAGTGCTAAGAAGTACTGACCAATATCTTAGCCCTTGGATCTTCCAGAGGGTTGCTATTGGCTTAATAACCGTGTGACTATAGTAACTTTTCTATAAGCAAGAGAAAAGGTGATAGGGTTTGGCTATTTCTCCAAAATACACAAATTTCAATCACTAAGAACATTCTAGGGCTAGTGTTGTAGTGTAGTGGGTAAAGCTGCTGCCAATGATGGTGGTATTCCATATAGGTGCCAGTTTGTTTCCTGGCGGCTCCACTTCTGATAGAGCTCCCTGCTAATGCACCTGGAAAAGCAACAGAAGATGGCTCAAGTGTTTGGGTCGCTAGTACTCACATGTGAGACCCAGATGAAGCTCCTGGCTTTGGCCTGGCCCATGTCTGACCATTGCGGCCTTCTGGGGGAATGAACCAGCAGATGGAAGATGTCTCTCTCTCTGGCTTTCCCTCTGTCTGTAACTCTGACTTTCAAAACAAGTAAATACATCCTTAAAAGAAAAAGAATCTTTTTATTTAAGACCATCTGGCTGCCGTGGAGTTATAATTACCCTATGCAGGTATATTACCCTTAAAATTATTTGATTCTGCATTTCTAAATGCTGAGTTTATCTATTACCTTTTAATGTTTGTATGTAGGCTCCAGCAAGTAGAAATTAATAAATATAATCATAGCTAAAATTTATTTTTATTTATATTTATTTATGGCATATTGAATTTAAATAAAAACCTCAGGGGTGAGGGACCTGATTTAATCCTAAACATCATATATTTCCTAGAATTTGTACAAATAATCATATGCAATTGATGGATTTCATACCATGCTGAAGATTTTTCCATGATTTTTTTTTTATTGAAAGAACCTGAAGGATAAAAGTGGATACGTGTCCTTATAGTGATAGGAAGCAGCAATTAATAAAGGCAGAATGAAGACTGAATGACTACAGGGGTTCAAAACGTGTAGAAAATGAAATTAAATGATAAATTTGTTTTTGTGCAATAGGTTTTGAAATCCATGCATTTTTAAAAAAAATATGTAGGGCCGGCACTATGGCACAGTGGGTTAACAGCCTGGCCTGAAGCGCCGGCATCCCACATGAGCACCGGTTCTAGTCCTGGCTGCTCCTCTTCCTATCCAGTTCTCTGCTGTGGCCTGGGAAAGCAGTAGAAGATGGCCCAAGTCCTTGGGCCCCTGCACCCACGTGGGAGACCTGGAAGAAGCTCCTGGCTCCTGGCTTTTGATCGGCCCAGCTCAAGCCGTTGTGGCCAACTGGGGAGTGAACTAGCAGATAGAAGACCTCTCTCTCTCTGCCTCTCCTCTCTCTGTGTAACTCTGACTTGCAAATAAATAAATAAATCTTAAAAAAAAAACATGAAAAATATGTAACACATATTTCCCATGAACTTTTTTGAAGACCCCGTATACATGACTGAATGATTCTTTCATTTAAATTTCAACACCAGTAATACAGTTTGTGGCTGGCGCTGTGGTACAGTGGGTTAAAGCTCTGGCCTGCAGAGCCCTGTCTTGAGTCCCAGCTGCTCCACTTCTGATCTAGCTCCCTGCTAACGTGGGAAAATAGTGGAGGATGGTCCAAGTGCTTGGGCTCCTGTACCCACGTGGGAGACTTGGAAGAATTTCCTGGCTCCTAGCTTCAGCCTGGCCCAACCTCAGTCCTTGCAGCCATTTGGGGAGTGAACCAGCAGGTGGAAGACCTCTCTCTACCTCTGTCTCTCCCTCTCTCTGCAACTCTGCCTTTCAAGTAAATAAAATAAATCTTTAAAAAAATGCTATTTTTCTGAAAGTTCTCATGAGGTAGAAAAGGAAAGGGATTTTGTCTACTGCCAGAATCTCTCATCACTTTTCATCATCTCAAATCCCTTTGTTCCTCTTTTGGATGGGTGGGATTCTTTTTAAAAAAAAAAATCAATTGATTGATTACTTTATGAAAACGTGATTGATTGATCTGTCTGTTGGTTTGCTCCACAAAATGCCTGCAGACTGGTGCTGAAGCCAGGAGCAGGCAATGCAATTCGGGTCTCTCATGTGAGTGGCAGGGATTGAGGTACTTGAGACATTACCTGTTGCCTCCCAGCATATGCACCAGAAGGAAGCTGAAAATGAGAAGACACCTCAACTCAGATGTCCCCAGCAGTCTTTTTTTTTCTGTTGTTCTGTTTTGTTATTCATTTATTTATTTATTTGAGGAAGAGAGGAAGAGAGATCTTCCATCCACTGGTTCACTTCCAAAATGGCTACAATGGCGGAGGCTGTGCCAGCCAGAAGCTAGGAACCTGGAACTCTGATCACATTTCTCACATGGACAGGAGTGGCTCAAGCACTTGTGTCATTTCCACTGCTTTCCCAGGCTCAACAGCAGGGAGCTGGATTGGAAGTAGAGCAGTCAGGACTCAGAGCTGTCACCCACGTGGGATGCTGGGTCCTACAAGAGCAGTTTTACCCCTTGTTTAAAATTGGTTTGTTGCCCTTTCCCTTACAAATTTAACCCATCACCCCCCCCGCCAGGCAGTCTTAACTGCTGCTCTGAGCATCTGCTCTGTCCCCTAGTGGGATTCTTAGTGCTAGCTTTGTTGATTTCTCATAGATCCTAACTACTCAGGCCTGTCCAACTTAACCTAAGGATTAATTCTAGTTGCTTCTATGACCAATTGCCATGCATTTTTAGCAGCATACTTATTTGCTTCATAAACTTAGTTTCTTATAATTATGTTGGCTGGTGGTCCAGCATAGGTCTCACCAGGCTGAAGTCATGGTACTGTCATGACTGCATTCTTCTCTAGAGGCTATGGAAGCAGGAACAGAGTCTATTTCCTTACATCTTCCAACTTCTAGAGACTGCCTGCAATCATTGGAAATCCTGCCCTGAATTGGTTCAGGATGCAATTCCTCCATCAACAAAATGGCCCAGTCCTTGTAATGCCATCATTTTCCTGGTTCTCTCTTTACATTATTTCTTCCATTTTTAATGACCCTTGTAATGGACCTTGGCCATCCAGTATAATCTCCCTATTGTAAGGTGAACTGATTAGTAAATTAATTCTGTCTACAACCTTAGTTCCCTTTGGCCATGCAACAATACCATCACAGGTCTACACCTGGGGGTTGGGCATTATTCTGCCTGTGACACTCTAAATTGGTTGCTCTGTTCTCCTTCCTTCTCAGTCCACAAAGCAGAAGAGGCTAAGTGTATGGGCTGTGGAGTCAAACTCTCTGGGTTCAGATCCTGGCTTTGCTACTTTCTGATGATATCGCAGTTGGGATAAGAATGGTACCTCTTTTTATAGAGTTCTTGTAAGGATGTCAGTTTTAAAAGAAGCACCTGCAAAGAGAACTTCCCAACTTGGATCGTCTTTCTCTAGGACATTGGAATGAAGGAAGAAGGGACACAAGGAACAAAGAAGGAAGGAAGACAAGAGGGAGGGAGGAAAGAGGGCAGTGAGCTGTGCCCCAGGACAGGACAGAGTTGTGCGTGTGAAATGCTAAATTCCCTACAGAGTACATTGCTTTTTCTGTATACCAGAGACATCAAGTACTGGCTTTTAAAGAAAACTAATCATTGTTTTATAGCAAATCAAATCCTATTTAGAGGTATCTCTAAGGGATTTTCCAAAGAGCTTGTTTATCCGAAATCAGGGCTTGAAATAAGTGGGTGTAACTAGAATTGTGATTATACAGGATGTTACTGAATTTGATTGTTTTCTGCTATACTTTCCCCATTCTTAGGTGTTTTTCATTGAACATTTGTCCTGTTTCACTTCCTTGGAGTTTTATCCTGTCCGTTTACCTATTTCAGGAATAGACACAAACAGAGGGCATAGAGAATGTTGGGTTTAGGGAAAGGGTGGATTTTTGTTTGTTTTAAGAATGAACAAACACAGGGAAATCCTGCTCTGAACAGGAAACCCTGATAACCTGAAAGGGTTAGCTTTCTAATATCCTACAAGAGTTTTGGATTGTGGGCTGTTGCAGCCTTTGAGGGAAGCTTCAAAACTTAACCATTGGTAAGAAAGTGGCCTTTATAGAATCTGGGCATGATGCATGTCCAAAGACTTTCACACTTTTGTCTTCTTAGGTAATTAGAATGATGATCCTAATAGTTGACATACATTGAGATTTTGCTGTATTCCAGGCAACATTCTTTTTTATTACCAAGTTTTTAAAATTTTTCAGTTCTAAAATTTAACATTTTAAACATTTTACCACATTCCCTTCGAGTGTAGAAGTTATATAATACACATATGTACTAATTTTTCTTGAAAGCAGAGCTATTAGTATCACAAGGTGAGTGATCCTTGAGGATCACAGTGGAGGGAAGAAGGATGTATTATGTACATGGTATTATTCAATGAAGCAATGTTTATAACCATATACCCAATGATTTGAAATCCAAACAGTTGTTATGCTCCATATATATTGACTTTCACAAATAAGGGAAAACATTCTGGGTCTGGCTTATTTCGCTTAGCATGATGATCTCCAGTTCCATCCATTTTGTTGTAAATGTCAGGATTTCATCTTTTTTATGGCTGAGTAATATTCCAACATGTAAATATATGCCATATTTTCTTTATCCAGTCATCACTTTATGGATATATAGGTTGATTCTGTGTCTTTGCTATTGTAATTGAGCTGCTATAAACATTGGAATGCAGGTGTCTCTTTCATGGGCTGATTTCATTTCTATTGGATGTATTCCCAGGAGTGGGGTAGCTTTTCTAAGTACTTTATGGGATCATCTGGTTTAATCCCCACAATCACCCTATGAAAATGGTACTATAATGTTTCACACTTAATGAGGAGGATTTAATGCAGAGAGGTTAATATGCTCAGAGTCACTTACTATTAGAAGAACTGGGGTTTGAACCCTAGCAGTCTAACCCCTGAGTTAACTTTTATCACCCAGTTTCTCAATACATATGTATTACCTCTATTTAAGATAGGGTGAATAATTTCCCAAGGGGTGATGGAAGTTGAGATCTTTCCTTGAACCTCCCTAATTTCCTTGTTGCTGTTTGTATTTTCTAGGTGTTTTTCCAGGTCTGACCATCTTGCCCTCCATATGAAGAGACATATCTAAAAACCCTAAAGGCCAGAGTTGCCATGGCATCGGCCAATGTCTGAAGGAATGCTGTGAGGCAGGGGGCTGGACTTCAGGAGGGGACCCATTGCCTCTCAGAAGAAAGTTCTCACTTATAAACCTCTGTGTACACACACACACACACACACACATCCATACACACTCACACAGACCCACACACATACACACTGTCAAGCACTCAACTATATTGAAATATATACGTCTATTCTTTATGCCTTGCCCTAGCCAGATGGTAGAAGACAAAAAAGAAGGAAACCAGGTGAACTCAGCAAGGCAGACTGGCTGCTTACTTCAGCACTATTGGAATTATTTCCCGCTGTTGCCAATGGAAATCAAAGAAAATGGATGTGACGTCTCTGCAGGTGGACGGCAGTACGAGGGGCTTATTTAACTTGCTTCTCAGTGCAACTTGATAGGAGAACACACCGTCTTAAAGTTGCATATGTGTAGCACTAATGTTTCTTTTTAAATAGTTGGGGGAAAATGACCTAGAAAACCAAATTGCAGTTTGGTAGCCAAAATTAACTCTTGGTTTATTTGTCCTTTGTGTGTGAAAAGTCCTACTATTCCGTGCGTCAGACTTCCTCACAGAACTGTTGATTGGTTTTGGTTCTTCTTAGTACCACTGAGATCTTTCCAGTCGATACCAACGGCCTTAGGGCGGCAGATTCTGGAATTACACCTTACACCTTTCTGGCCTGCATTTCTCTAGACTGCACTCTCAAGGGAGGAGTTTTCTTTTCTTACTTTTTGACTTTTGCACACCATATGCACTAGGGATTCTGGAAACTTCTAGCATGACTGCAAAGTGGCCAAGAGAATAAAGTCCTTGATGATAAATCACAGTATATCCCTTGAGCCTCACCTTATTGCCAGTGCTAGATTTTTTCTTTTTAATCTCTCTGTTTTTGCTAATGAAAACTTGAAAAAGCTTATTTGGAAGCTTAAATGTTTTACCTTTTCTCCATGGACTAAACCTCTCCAGAACTCTCTCTCGGCACGTGGATGTCCAGCTCTCGAAGCAGCCAATCAGATGGGACATCACAGTTCTCTCATCCTCCTTGAGGCATGGTGACCTCAGCTCACAGTGAGCGCCCACTGTGCTGTGTGTCACTGCTACCCTATAACCAGTTACAGCATAGATGTCGCTAGTCTCAAAGGGCAGCTGCGTATTTAATCTAACTCTGGGTTATGACCTGACACAAAGCCAAAAATATCACTCTTTCCAAGAATGGGGAAAACTGAGGATGCCTCCCAAATCTAGTGGCTTCACAAAACATCATCCTAGCTTCCTCTCTCATACCCACTGAGCTCATATTACCCCACTTGTCAAAACACACAGTTCAAAATGCCATTGTGGGAACGAAGGGTTGACCTTTAAGGAAAAGGTTGAGGAGTTTCTCTCATGTTCTGTCTAAAAGGAGAGACGTGTTTCTAATTTCTTTTTGGCTAGGCCCACCATGACTTGTGACCTAGAACACCGGGGTCATCAGAGGCCTCGCATTCACTCTGCAAGCTGACTCCATGGGGGTTCACATTCCTCACTTGTCATCCCCCACACACATCAAGTGGTCTCTCTCTACCCGCATTCTTAGCTAGCTGGCACTGGCCTCAACTCCAAAGACTGCCTTTAGGACCATTATATGGCCTATGCAAGCAAGCGGGGTGGTTATTAGGACAGATTGTATATTTTGTATCTTCTGGGACCATCCCTTCAAGACAAGTCTAAAAATCAAAAATGGCGTTTGGTCCGCTCGTGGCTGCTGCTCCTTCTCACCAGCTGGCTCCCTTCCTGCCCTCCTCTGACTGTTTGACTCATTGACTGTTAAAATGTCACCCCATACATATTTGGGATGCAAAACTGAAGTCTTTAAAAGGAAACCATAATATAAGAAACACAAACACATATATGACAACAACCTTCAAGATCCTTGGCATTTGCGTTTTCAGCTTTCTACAACCTTTGTTTTCACTGAAATGTTGAAACAACTCATCTGAGGGTAATGGAACCTCCTTATCACAATGCTGTAGCTGCCAGTTGGACACTTGGGGCATTTCGAGGTCTGGCCCTTAGAATTTTCTTGCTCTTTTTCCTTTTTTTTTTCTTCAATTTAGACCAAAAAAAAATTAAAAATTTTAAAAAATTTAAAAAAAGAAAAAACATCCTAAACACATATTCACACACAAAAATCTGTCCATTTGCCGGAGGCAATTATGTATATGTTAGTTGGAGGGTATTAAAAAATCAGTTTTATTCCAAAGATTAAAAAAAATAGAAATGACTTAGAAACAAGTTCTGGAGCACTGCTTGCTGACAATCTTGTAGTTCTCTACTGCATTTGAGTGCATTTTGTGGCCAGTCCATCAGGGCATACCATGGGATTCTATTTGAATGTGTGGTGCATCCTTTCTGGATGAAGGATGTGTGAGGAACCTTGAACCTCAGCTGTATTAAACTGTAGCGCCTCCAGTCAGTGCACTAGATGAAACTTTAGACACCCCGAATTTTGTTGGTTCCTTTCTTTTCCTTTCCATAGCAGCCTCCAGCAGGAATGCACGCACACACCAGTGATGGCATTGAGCCATGGCTGCCACGATTTACAAATGTTCTCTCCCAAGCTGGAGCTGCTCTTGCCTCTCAAATGCTATTATTATTATTATTATTATTATTAAGGATTTATAATACTTAATTTAATTTTTGAACTGACCAATGCAAGGCTCTATTAAAAAGAAAGTTTTTAAAAAAAAAAAAAAAAAGAATGCAGAAGAGTAATCATTGCTTGTTTGCTCCCTTGTTGTCATCTGTGGTCTCTGTTGGACGTGGCAGAACAAAGGCCCTCTGATCCTCATCAGTGTCTGAAATGTTTGGTAATTTTTCTCTCTTTTGTATCAGTGAGGTCCTTTGTAATCTGCTCCTGACTTTTCTCAGAGCAGGGTGCACTGAAACACGATGATGGTGCTTGCTTGCTTCAGCGTTATCTGTTGACCGTGAGAATTGGCCTCAGAACCTGGTGGGTGCTAAGTGTACGGCTTTGAAACTGTTCTCTAGCCCAGACTGACACCTGTTGTGGTAACCAGTCCTAACTGTGGGGGTAGGGGTAGCCCCGACTGTTTTGGAACTAGATTTATGAGAAATGTTCATCATCTCTGAAATGGCAGAGACCTCCAGAGTCAACAGCCTGAAGACAGCTCTCTCCCCCACAGGACTGGTTATTTAAAACAGTGCTTTAGAGGACATTTGAAACACATTAAATCCATTTCTCATTTAAATTGTTACCTCCTAGCATTCCAGGGGATCCCAAACTTGCAAGGAAGAACCTGGCATCGTGTTTCTGTGGTTGTCCTCTCAAGCACGCTTTTTCCAGGGTTCAGAGTGTGATGTGTAGAAAAGTGTTTCTAAGCCGCTGACCATTTTCTTTATTTCAAATTTTGCTTCTTTCTCCTACCACGTGGCTGTAAGTCAGAGATGTGGATGCCTGAAATTAAGTTGCTGCTCCTAGCTACTGGCCTCCTGCCCCACTCAAGGGTGATTGGCCCCAGCTTAATGCCTGGTGGTGATGAGTATCACGTCTAGAAAAAGAGAAGTTCTGATTCTATGACAAAGCTGCATTTTGTAAAAATCTTGGAGACCCCTGAATGAACTCCATGCCAGCCATGTCCTCCTCTCCACGCGCTTTCCCTTGCAAAACCCTTCAAATGCCTCCTTTTCTCAATGCCATCGCCTCCCCACCTGCACCTCTTGTGCCCTTTTACATCTTTGATAGCCTGATTATAACAGGGTAAAAAAAGACAGCCAACCTCATGCATGTTAGCAGAACTGATTCCTAGTTTTAAAAAAATCTTCTTTGAAGCCAGAGGAGATTTTTAAAGGACTTTAGTTTGGGATAAACTTTGAGCTTATCCACGTCTATTTGCATCAAAGGGTAAATAAATGGGGTTTTGGGGGTGGGCATATCCAGGGCACTCAGACTACTCTGCCTAATGGTCTTCACTCCTGCATGCTGTGGCAAAGCCAAAAGAAAGAAACTCAGATTGCAAGAACAACCAAACCTGATGATTACTTTTGATTATTCCAATGATTTCCTCTATGGAAGTCACTTCATAACATGTAAAATATAGTGGTAAGTGCATGAATTGTTTTTAGGAAAGGGAAGAAGATAGGGTAAGTCAGAGAGATGCCACATATTTTACTAGAAAAATAAAATTTGTTGCTTGTTTCTTTCTTAAAAAAAACAAACAAAAAACCACAAAAGGCCAGCATTTCTGGCCGTAGCTTTGCACCCGGAACGTTGCCAAGCGAAAGTTCCCTAAGTAGAACCTGGTTTAAATGACTCCTGGAAGCTTTCCCTTGCATTTTCCGGAAGTGACCATCTGCCAAGCACAGGAGTGAGGGCAGAAGGGACAGACTTGGATTCTGGGTGCCGGGATAAAACTCGGCAAACATGGTGATAGCTCGATTTGAACACTAAGAGCCTGGCCTGAGTCGACATCAATGCCTCTTTGATGGCCTATTTTCCTCAATGAGGATCTTTGGAACGACAGAAATGTGTCAGAAGAAGCAACACCTGCCTGTAAACCTGTGCTGTCCCATGACTAACCGCCTGAGGCCTCAGGGCTTTCTCTGGCGTTTAACACTCTCCTAAATTTCTGTTGGTTCCTAAAAGATCCTGGAAAAGGGGGGAAAAATCAAGCTGCAATTAACTTCCTTATGTGCATCCTTCTGATATAGTACTGTATTCTTCAGGTGTTTTGCATTTGCGTATACGTTCTCGGGAAACAGGTATCAAAAATGGAGAGAGATCCTAGGCCGTCGCCCCACAAATACCCCGAACAAGATACTTTTTTCCAACAGGGCTCCCCTCAGTGATCACGAGGGAAGGGTGATGCGTTCTTTGTTGGGGACTGTTTATACACTTTTTTTCAACTGTGAGCTTTGGAATCGTAAATTGCTTTGACTCCAGCTTCCGTCTACTGCCATAAAATGGACCCCACGTCAGACGAATGAGGGTGGTGTGCGTGCACGCACCTAGACACGTGCGCATCTGTACCTATTGTACCTTCGCGGAAGGAAAACAGGCTACTGACGTTTTAAGAGGAGTAGCCACCAGTGCCTAATATCTTTTGGGGGGGATGGATGCTTATAATTGCCAGTCTATGGAAACCACACTGGGAGTTCCACATGGAGGGGAGGGACTGTGGGTGGGGAGAGGGAACATGTGAATCCTAGGCCTATGGACTGGAGGCAGAGTGATCTCTGCAAATCTGGGTCCTGCAGGCTTTTGGGCTCATTGGCTGGTTCTCAACCTTTTTGTTTTTTTCTCCCCAGCATGCATTTCCTAGCTAAACCCAGCCTTGGTTTAATTTCCTTACCTTTCACTTCTGCTTCATTCCAGGGAGGAAAAATACACCTGTTAATGGCCAAGATCTCCTTGCTAACACAGAGGCAAAAATAAATGTTTAATGTTTTGAAGCCTCCCCTTACCTTTCCTGCCACTCCCCCACCCCAGCCCCTTTCCACACTCCCCCTCCACTTCCTACTCTCACCATACACTTTCCCGGCCACCACACATTTTTGTTCACATTTCTATTATCCTCTTAACAGTTGCTTGAAGAAATTTATTTTTGCACTATACATTTTCTTTTTGCCAGATGTGTCTAACAAGTGTGTTTGGAGAGACCTGCTCCCAGCCCCCATCCCTCACCCTGTCTCCCCGGTCACATTCTCTCAGGCCTTCTCTGGTATTTATAATATATCACAGAAGTACCCAGTCTTATAGCCCTCGGTTATGCCTTTTTTTGACATTTTATTTTTTTTAAGCTTTTTATATATATATATAAATATATTACTTTGTCAAGTTTTTTTGCTGTACAAAAGTCTTAAGATTTAAAACTATTATTTGTATTATATGATGGTGGTATGTTAATGTTACAAAATTATTAATGAAGAAAAAATTTATTTTTGTTACTGGTCTGTTTCATAATTCTTTTTTAAATTGGTATATTGTAAGATATCTATGCAAAAAATGTTATGTGACGCATTTTTATTTAAGAATGTAATATGTGTAATAAACAGTAGAATGTGTTTGGCCTTGGAATGCCTTACTGTATTTCTCCTGAGCTTATTTTACTGGGGGAAAAACATCCTCAAAAAAGACACAAATGGATCCTTCTGTACCTTATAAAAGTTTTCTTTTTCTGAGAAAGGGAAGGCAAATGTTGTAGTAGATAATTTTTGTTTGGGAGGTGATTGTGTGTGTGTGTGCATGCATGTGTGTTTGTGTGTATGTGTATTTTGTGATTTCAATGGAGTATCTCTGAGCCCTAATAAGAAGGGACGTTGAAGATGGTTTATTTCCTCAAGGGGAGAAAAGAAGCAAATGGCTGGTGGTTATGAAAAGCAATATTTTAGTATAAGGTGGATTATGGGATGTTATTTGTTTAGGGGGTTGGGAGAAGCTTATTGAAAGCAGTTTATTTGGTGAGAGAAGGAGGCGGTTTGTTCTGTGATGCTGTGAATTAGAGACTATTTGGAAAGGATTATTGGAAGCAGTTTGTGCAGGGAAGGAGAAGGCGAAAGGTTGGAGGGAATGACTTAGGTGAGGGGTGGGAGAGGAGATTTCCAGTAGACACTTGGTAACCAAGTGGGCAAAAAATCAGAGGCCAAGAGATTCTGGTGGCTGTGCTGAGTACAAAACGGTAGATGCAAATAACAGCAACCTCAGACGCCAGGAAAAGAGAGAGATGGAGGATCTCAGAAGTGTCAAGAACACTGAAATCCTTCCCCTCTGCACGTGGCTTCTGGGGAAGAATCAGTAAGGATGAAGGGAGAGAATCCAAGCAGCGGCCCAGCATTCGTTGCTGAGCGAGTCCCCCCGGGAGTGGTGTCATTATCTGAAGAAAACAGCAAAGGTGTTTGCCACACAAAACACGGTGCTTGATCAAGCCTTCTTTGCCCTCTTTGGATTTAGGGAAGTAGGCCTGGTGGTGAGTGACCTCCACCCCTAGTCAAGAGACTCTGATGGGACACTTGATAGCGATGTTAACATTAGAAGCATGGCTGTGGTGTTGCACTTGCTGTGTGGGCACAGATGCTTCTTAGTCTCTGAACGGGAAATCAGGGGTCAGGAGTGGGGCAGGTTGAAGGGGAAGCTGAGTGATTGTGTCTGTGCTCTAACAAAGCATGAAGGAAGCAGCAGGTGCTGCAGGCTCAGGACAGTGTCTAGTACAAGCTGCTGCATCTCCAGAGCAGGCCAGCAGTGTGCGCACACAGCAGCCCAGGGATGACCCACCAGACACTCCATGATGCCTGTGGCGAAAACACCCAGAGTCCACAGACCTGCCTCCCAGGCCCTGGTCTTTCAGTCACTCCAGCACTAGATAAAAAATGTGATTCTCATGACCAAAATCATTTAGCCGGAAACACCTTTGAGCAAGAAGGGATAGGATAGCTTTGTGATACTATCCAAAACAAGGCTTATTATTCTGTTTCTCTAACTTACAAAATCATATGAACTTGAACATTTTAGGTGGGGGACGACCTTCACTGTGCTGAAATGGTAAGAGGACACAGTGGTAAGTCTAATCTGTTTGGCATAAGGAAATAAGTTGGTTGATGTAAGTGAATATTCCTGAAGACTGAAGCTCTGTTATTTAGGCATAATTTTTGTGTATAAAAAGGTCTAAATACTTGTATATGTTACCAACATTGCCGCCTTTTTGAACTTTTTTTTCTTGCACTATGATATGAATTCAAGGGCTACTCCCGACAGCAGAGTTGCTTGCACAGACACTAAATGAATCTGCTCTTTATACTGAATGGCTGCTACTTTCACTGCTGTGTTCTCTCCATTTGGAAGTTGCAGAATTGTGTATTACCTTCTAGCAGTATTTATCTCCTGGTCAACTGGTGGGTCAAATAAGCAAGCTTGGTAACTTCTTAAGTGCAAAAATAACTGAAATTCAAATTCAACAGGCAGTCATCTGGAAGTGTGACCTGGATGTCCTGGGGGAGTACAGCACCATAACCCTCGTGACAGCTGTCATCTGAGGTTGTGTATCCAGTTGGGAACACTGGGCTAATGGAGTCTCCTGAAAAGCCGAGTTTAGTAGAGTTGATAAATAATTTAGTATTTCTAGCTCATCTTCCACTTAGGGGTTGAGAAGAGGAGATTGTTAAAACTTTTAACTGAAACAACATTTTTCAGGTTCCTGGTAGGTAATGGTGTTTCCATTATGAGCCGGTTCACAATTCCATCTCCAACATTTAATATTTTATCTGAGCCTTTAAAAGCTATCACTATTGACTGGCTTAACCTTAATATATTTAAAAAAATCTGCTTCATAATATAGCTATACATGCATATATGCTGTATTTAAAACTAATGAAATGAAGACAAACAAAGCTACAAGAGAGTATGTTTGCATGGAATTTTCCATGTTACATGCACTGAAGTTGGGCTACCCATCAAGACTGTGTAAATCAAATAGGCATTTTTCACCACTGTGACCATTTGCTCTTTGAAAGAGAGAATCTGGCAGTGCAGAAAGATAAATACCATGTGATCTCATTTATATGTAGAATCTGAAATAGTTAAACTCATGAAACAGGAGTAGAATGGTGGTATCCAAGGGCTGGGATGATGTTGGCCAAAGGAGTCCCAATTTCAGTTAAGTAAGAAATACAAGCTCAAGAGATTGTAAAACATAGTGACTATAGTTAATAGCAATGCATAGTATTAAAAATTGCTAACTGGATTTCAAGTGTTCTTACCTCAAAAGGTGATAACTATGTGAGGTAATGCTTTTGTTAATTAGCACACCGTAACAATTGTGCAATGTATACATATTTCAAAACACCATGTTGTACATAATACATACAATTTTTTATTTATCAAGTTAAGTAATTAATTAAAAAGCAGATGGCAAGATTGAGGTTCAAAGAGGGTATGTGACTTGATCAAGACCAGGGAAATAGTGAGTACCAGAGCTGGCTTATAGTTCCCATGTTTTCCATTGCAGCAGACTGTCTTCTATACCCGCTACTTCAAGGTAACCAGGAGCTGGCTGGTATATGTCTCCAGCAATGATATCATAATTGGCAGCCCTGACTTAATCTTCTCATTTCCTCTCCACCAGTGACAGATGTGACTATAATATAGTCACAGAGGTGACTATAATACAGATAGAATTATCGCATGCTAGAATTGGACGGCATCTGGCCTATCTCCACTACTCCCACATTATTAGAGTCAATTGAGGCTCAGAGAATGCCAGGTTGGCCACAGTCACATAACATGTCCTTTGCAGAACAGAGGTCACCCCAGGGTCTCGATTTGCAGTTATGCTCTATCAGTCTGAGCAATGTTTCTTAAATTTTAGAGTGTGACCTTCAAGATTCTTGCAAAATCCTTGTGCTACTAATTACTTCCTTAGTCGTTTTCTCTAAACTGATGCACTTTGAAAGCTCTGAATACGTGTTTTAGCTTTGTCCTAAGCAACAATATTCCCCAAACCACTGGTTTAATAAAGTGTCATTCTGTTAAGTACAAATGAAAATAAATAAATAAATAACTTAAAATAAAAATGCTCATCTTGTTACATTAGAGCTCCCAATTACTGCTGGTGGGACTTGAGAGGCATTATTCTGTGCCCTTCTCTAAAATCTATACTGCACCATTTCTCTTTAGCTAATTACTTAGTCTATATGAAGCTCCTTGGAGCACATTTCAAATTGAATCTAAAACTAAGTGCATGTGAAAATTTAATAAAGACTGATCTGATGACTGGGAAGTTACTTAAGGATGCAGAGGTCTTTTAGGAAGATGGAGAAGATATGGCCTGGGAGTAAAATGAGTGTGGTGCACTCTGTGCCTCAATTTCCTGTCCTTAGAGCACCCCTCTTCCCTCAGAGAAAGGCACTCAAGCTCATGGTCAAGTCATGCCTTGATTCTGTGAAGGGAGCCCTGAGTGTTGGGCATTGGCTGCACTGAGAAAGTCTTGTTCTCTGGATTAGCCCAGTCGACAGTCAGTGCCTAGAGACTTATGCATGCTGTGAGGCTCAGTTTCACACCTCCTCACCTTCATGCCCGGATTCCCCAGGCCAGCATCTCTACATCACCTGTGCATACAATTCAACTTCTTTTTTTGCCTAAAGTTTTCCTATTTCTAAGCTACATCTATCCAGGAAGAGGTGCCTCTTTGCGGCTTTCCGATCATGCGTATCTTAATGTATGTGAATTTATTCCTTCCTCTCATGTGAAAAGGTTCTAAGTGTGAAGAGGATGAGAGAGAGAAAGGTCACAGACAATTGAAGTGAGTGAGCAGCCTGGGGACTCGGGTGGGAGTGGTAAGCAGCCAGGCAGGCAGTGCTTTGCTCATCATGGCAGAGCCATAGGACAGTCTAGTGATTTCATGAAGGGACTGACGTGGTATTTAGTGGCTAGCAAAGTCTCCTACATGATCGAAATGAAAGCCCTCAGAACTTATCACAGTAAACAGCTACTCAGCAAATTAGTAACCTCTAGTTAGATAATAATGGCAATTATGATCTCTCATTTCTGGACTTGATTCTGTTCTTCCAGCTTCCAGATCTTCTGGCAAGCAGAAAGCCCATAGTCACTCTATAAAGATGGGGATGTATTTGAGGGACCAGGGGTGTGTTTAAAGGATCATCATGTATGGACTCTAACATCAGAGCCAAAGCAATAATGATATATTTCTGTGGCTCGATGACATACTGTGTTCTTGGGGTTAGGTTTGCAGACTGTTCTGAGAAGTACATAAGCTAGGCTTGTAGGATTACTAGTCAAAGAAGCCAAGCTTTTAGAAATGAAAAACCCCGGTCTTATTTACATACTCTGGTAAACTCACAGAAACAAAGACCAGATTTTCCACTTAAAACCTACATTAATTGTTGCAAGGTCAAATTTGTCAAAAAATGTTTTCCTTCTCAGTTTTAGAAATATCTAACTACATTCGAATGTGCAGAGTGTCTGATGACAATATGAATGAGTGATTAAAGTTCATGTCTTGTCTTTGTTTCTTCAAAATTTTAACATCTTTCTGTCCCCAAACTTGTTTTTT